TCCACAGCTACATTTCATTTGCATTGTGGGGAGGCCAGCTGCCTAGTGGGAAACCAGTGACCCTTGCCCCAGGCCTTCTGTCTCTTGAGCTGCTTGCTCTCTCTGAATCTTTTTAGAACTTGAATACCATTCTCTTCAGGATCATCTCCAAAGTCATTAGGCTACTACCCTAGCCCACACATCTTCAGAGTCAATCCCAGGAAAATCCACGGGATCCAGAAAGGTTCGGGTTGGTTTTGAGGCTGATCTAGAAGCCAGCTTGTCTCTGGCCTTCCTGGTCATCATGGAGGGGAAAGTGGAGTGTGGCGCTTTGTAGATCATCAGGACACCTTCACACCACATAGCTCCCATGCCTTCTCTGAGCAGCCCCACCTCTGTCCCTCCCCAGTCTTGCTGGAATGAGTATCTGACAACACGTATTGAGCAGAATCTCGTGCTGAATTGCACCTGCCCCATTGCCAACTGCCCTGCCCAGCCCACTGGGGCCTTCATTCGTGCCATCGTTTCCTCTCCAGAAGTCATCTCCAAGGTAGTCACTCCTCCAAGAGAGGCCGAAGGGCAGCCCAGGGAGTCCTGGGAGTCGGGGAAGGGGCTGACTTCCAGAGAGCTGGCCCTCACCTTGTGACCCGTTTCCCCAGTATGAAAAGGCCCTCCTGCGAGGCTATGTGGAAAGCTGCTCCAACCTGACCTGGTGCACCAACCCCCAGGGCTGTGACCGCATCCTGTGCCGTCAGGGCCTGGGCTGCGGGACCACCTGCTCCAAGTGTGGCTGGGCCTCCTGCTTCAGTTGTAGCTTCCCTGAGGTGAGGATCACATGCCTTCCCTTCCCACTGCCAGGAGTGAGCCCTGGCACTAGGCTGAGCGGTCTTGCTGCTCCTGATGCAGCCTGTACCTTCTTTCTCCCTCCCAGCAGTGCCACCCTCAGGCAGGTCCTCATTGTCGTCCTCCTCTAGGCACACTACCCCGCCAGCTGTGGCCACATGTCTCAGTGGGTCGATGATGGCGGCTACTACGACGGAATGAGCGTGGAGGCCCAGAGCAAGCACCTGGCGAAGCTCATCTCTAAGCGCTGTCCCAGCTGTCAGGCCCCCATCGAGAAGAACGAGGGGTGTCTGCAGTAAGAAGGGGGTACTATGGGCAGTGTTGTGGTTAGAGGGCAAGCAGCCAGTCTGTGAGGATGAGGAGACCGGCAGTAAGGAAAGGGTGATCACTCAGCCACCCTTAGGTGGCACCTTCTTCCCCTTTAGTCTACACTGCCTGGTAGACAGCAGAAGCAAGAGTGCATTCAGTAGGGATGGCATGGGGAAAGGACAAAGACCAGGTCATTGGTATTCCTGGTTCAGCCCTGCCAGAGGCAGGACCCCTCTAACCAGTAAGCTTCCTTCGCAGCATGACCTGCACCAAATGTAACCATGGATTCTGTTGGCGTTGCCTCAAGTCCTGGAAGCCAACTCACAAAGACTACTACAACTGCTCTGCTATGGTAAGAGGCGGGCGCTAAATGAAGCAGTCAAGGGCGGTGCCTGCCCGGCCCTGGGCAGAGTGGCTTTGTGTCTAGAGCAGCCTCTCAGTTGCTGGGACAAAGGTCCAGTGCCGAGAAGGTGGAAGTAGCTGAGGCTCCTGGGACTGGGAGTCCCAGAACTTTTCCCAAGGGCCCTTCAGCTCTAGAACAGGGCAAAAGGGTGGGCAAGAGGGAGTACCAATCAAAGCAGAGCCAAGGAAGGGCTCTGGAGGTAGATGCTGGCCCCACCACTAAGTAACTTTGGGCAAGTCAGTTTACAGTTCCTACCCTGTGTCCTCATCTGCAAGAGGGTATGATAATGGAACCTCCTTCACACAGTTACAAGGATTAGATGAAGAAACCTAAGTAATTTTTAGAAGGAGTAATCTAGAGTATGTAGTTATTGTTAGGAGCCATCGAGTCGGCACCGACTCATAGCGACCTTATGCACAGCAGAATGAAACACTGCCCGATCCTGGGCCAACCTCACTACTGTTGCCACTCTTAAGTCCACTGATGCTGCCACTTGGCCAGTCCATCTTGTTGGGGGTCTTCCTCTTTTTCTCTGACCCTCCACCTTAACAAACATGATATCCTTCTCCAGGGACTGCTCCCTCCTGACAATATGTTTGAAGTATGAGTGCCTTCCAACCTGAGAGGCTCATTTTGCAGCACTATATCTGACAATGTTTCTCTGCTATTCATAAAGTTTTCAGTGACTAAATATTTGGAAGTAGTTCATCACTCCTTCTAGTCTGTTATCTGAAGCTCATCTGAAACCTCTCCACCATGGGTGACCATGTTGGTATTTAAAATACCCATGGCATAGCTTTCCGAATCACAGCAACTCACAAGCCACCACAGTACGACAAACTGACAGACGAGTGGTAGAGAGTATGTAGTTGCCTCCAGAAATGGTAGCTGCATCCTGTCCAAGCCAAGTACCCAGTAACACTCTCACGGGGGCCTTCCCAGGTCAGCAAAGCAGCTCGCCAGGAGAAGCGGTTCCAAGACTACAATGAAAGGTGCACCTTCCATCACCAGGCCCGGGTGAGCAGGGGAGAGAGCCTGCCAGGGAGGTCTGAGGGTGGGAACAGGTGTGTGGGGAAGGATGGGGTTCTGCACTGACACAGGACCTTCCTCTGGACAGGAATTTGCTGTCAACTTGCGGAACCGGGCAAGTGCTATCCACGAGGTACCCCCGCCAAAATCCTTCACCTTCCTCAATGATGCCTGCCGGGGACTGGAACAGGCTCGAAAGGTTGTGGCAGGTGGGGGTTAGGGAGGGGGAGGTGCAGAAGGGTGTACCGTGGGGGCTGGTGGGCTTGGCTCCTGTCATCCTCCAGGCCGGTAGGGTGGGGAGGCATCCAGCCCAGACAATGGGAGGGGTGATGTGCGTGTCCCCAGGTGCTGGCCTATGCTTGCGTGTACAGCTTCTACAACCAGGACGCTGAGTATATGGATGTGGTGGAGCAGCAGACGGAGAACTTGGAGCTGCACACCAATGCCCTGCAGATCCTCCTTGGTGAGCCTCTGACCCAACCTCTACTCATTGTGTCCTCTGGTGTCCTGCTCTCCTCACGCCTGCTCACCCCTTCCCTCTCCTGCTCTTCTCAAGTCTCCAGAGGCTGTCCCCACCTGGATTGCCTGCATGCACAGGTCTGACCTGACACTTACCTGATGGCGGTCAGAATGGAAGCCCCATGAGATGGGGTCCTGAGCTCTGAGCACTAGGTTTTTGGTGAAGGAGGGAGTGGTGAGAGTGAAAGAAGTGACCTCGGCCCCTTTCTGCAGAGGAAACCCTGCTGCAGTGCCGAGACCTAGCCTCCTCGTTGCGCCTGCTGCGGGCGGACTGCCTCAACACCGGCATGGAGCTGCTGCGGCGCATCCAGGAACGGCTGCTGGCCATCCTGCAGTATTCCTCCCAGGTACCGTGCCCCGGCCTGCCCAGCACAGCCCTGCTCGGGGAATCCAGAAGGAAAGGCCACACGCTGAATAGATGCTAGGGGACTGGGTGCAGATCTTGGTTCCCAGACTGGCTCGTGGAATGATGTTGGTCCCTGTCATTTATTCTGAGTCTCCAGAAAATACAGGGATTGTTTATCCCAGATCAAAGTTGTTTGGCCAGGTGGATTCAAATATCATCAGAATCCATCGGGGAACTTCTTCAGAACTACTACACTTCCCAGATGTGTAGATTCAGAATCCCAGGAGTGGAGGCTAAGCTCTGAGTCACCTGGAATAAAGCATCTCTGAGTTTCTTTCTGGTTTTAATGTACTCATGTTGAGTCTAACCTTCAGGGATCTTACTGACTGGTTAAGCAGACAAGACATAAACACAAGTTGAAAACTCCTTAAGTGTACTCACTGTGTAGGCCCAGATATTGTCTCTGTGTTCAGCCACACAAATTTGAGGCACTGGTCTGAGAGCGCTGTGTGAAGGGAAGGGAGCAGTGGGCGTATTCCTAGAAGGGGCCTGGCACCCAGCTGGTACTCAGAAAACTCTGGAGGGATGCAAGGCAGAGACATAGTCTCCACTCTCCCGACCCAAAGCCTGTGTCTCCTTGCCAGGATTTCCGGGTTGGTCTTCAGAGCCCATCAAACCTAGAGGCCCGGGAGGTGAAAGGCTCCAATGTGCCCAGCAAGCAGTAAGTAGGGGCATCTGAGCCCAGTGTGTCTGGGGGGCGGGGTGGTGGTGTCAGGTTTCTTTAGGGCTGAGTGGGGTGGTTCTCCCCAGGCCCCAGGGCTCATCAGGACTGGAGGTGGATGATGAGGAGGAAGATGATGAGGACGAGGATGAGGTGCCAGAGTGGCAGCAGGATGAGTTTGACGAGGAGCTGGACAATGACAGCTTCTCCTACGATGAGGAGTCCGAGAACCTGGACCGAGAAACTTTCTTCTTTGGTGATGAGGAGGATGATGACGAGGCCTACGACTGAGGGGCCGGGCACGGAGCATGGAGGGGACCTCACCCCTGCCCGCTTGTCTTGGGGGGAGCATGACTCCCAGTATGTGTGGCACCTTTTTCTGTTTACTGAATTAAACGCTTTTTTTTCACATACCTCTCTGGAAGGTAGCTTCACAAGGGCCAGGAGCAAATCCCTCTCCCCTGCCCCCCAACAACCCTCCTGATTCGTTCGTGCTTTCTGTAGACCTCTGGATGCTTGTCCTCAGAAAAAGGAGCAAAGCTGTTCCAGGAAAATGAAGGCTCCTCAGGGTATAGGGCCAATAGGGCCAGGTGCTAACATACTTTCTCCAGAGCTGCTGAGGGCAGTAGGAGGTACCCTGCTCTTGGGGGCCTACAGATGGTTAAAAGATCTCTCTACTAGTTGAAATGGAATGGGGAGGGTATTATTGACGACCTGCCACCCGACCCCTAACCCCATATACAGACACAAGTTAGAATTTTAAACATCTTTGAATTTGGCACTGGGGCTAAGAGCAGGAATGGTGCTAGAACAATGTCTGGGAGCAGAAAACAGAATAAAGTGGAGTTAAATCAGGCATTGGGGGCACGGGAGGCAGCCACATGCTGTGGAGGTTCAGCCTCAAAGTATCGATCCAGTACGGCTTCCACCTCTGCCTCTTCGTAGTCCCACACCTGGAACTGCAAGCCGTTGGCTGCTCCCCGGATCATGGCTGAAAGCACTAGGAAAGGCCACGGAAGATGATGGTGCTTCCCTCTACATAACCCCAGCCCCATCCCTTGTTGGGGGTTGTCCTCAGAGCCCACCAAGGCATGAGATGAGGGATGGGAGCTAAGAATGCTGGGGAGGGAGGGGGTTGGAGCACTTACCTCGGCCAGACTGCGGGCGGAACAGGCACAAGATTCGCTTATTGAGGGCCACAGCCCGGCCCAGCTCATAACCAACACCCAAAGACGGCTGCGTCACTTCTGCCACAACCACTGGGGGAGAAGAGGAGACTAAGAAAAGGTCCTGAATGTGGCACTTGGGGCTTGTAAGGAAGAGATGATGGTGAGGAGGGAGCTCTAGGGACCCCCTTCTGGATGTGCAAGCCAGGGGTGCCCAGGGAAATGGATGTCTCAGAGGAGTTGGTGGGTAGAGGGAGTACTACTCACCATTTGCCTGCTGCAGCCAGGCTAGGTCCCGCTCGTGGATGAGCCTGTCACCCCCAGCAGCCTGCTCCCCTGTGGTGGAGGGAACCCTGGTCAAGGATGAAACCCCCTTCTCTTCCCTTGCTGCATAGCCACCCACTGGAAGGAGAAGGACTTGTATTAGATGACCTCCAAGGGCCCTCCAACACAAAGATTCCATAATGAGGAGTGAGGAACTGGTCAAGGGAAGGACTAATTCATGGTGGGTCTGAGTGGTTAGGGCAGGGCGCGTGGACACCTGGCTCGCAGGTAGAGAAAGATGGGACGAGCATCGCAGGTGAGGCAAATGGCAGCAGGAGAGTAGCCTGTGTAAGCAAAGGATGGAGAGTCAGTTCTCAAACTTTGGTGAGCACCAGAATTACCTGAAAAACCTGGTAAAAATGCAAAGACCCAGGTGCCAACAACCCTGGGCCTCTACCTTCACAAAGCGTGATCATTAGGTAGTCAGACAAAAACAGAAGAGGCAAACTGGGAGCAGTGGGTGAGGATCTCTGAGTTCCAGCTTGATTACACATGATCCTCCAAGGCGGTAAAGTCCAGCGCCTCCCACATCAGAACCGCTGGAAACAGCTTGCTAAAACCGCAGATTCTAAGGTTTGATTGGAGACTGCTCTATGTTAGAATTGTTAAGTTCCTTCTAATGGGTTTTCACTCATAGCAACCCTGTATAGGGTTTCCAAGGAGCGGCTGGTAGTTTTGAACTGCCAACCTTGTGGTTAGCAGTCCAATGCTTATTCTACAACATCACACCAGTACTCCGTTAGAATTATGGAGGCTTGGAAATCTGCATTTTAAACAAGCTTCCCCAGATGTTACTTGGCAAACATTCATACAGTTCCAGAAGCACACCATGAGAGTAACGGAGCTTAAGCTTTAGTATCTTGCACTTGCACAGGCTGCTTCCCAAAGTGCTAGCAATTTTGTCTTCCTAAAGAGGTTTCCCAAAATTGCTTTAAGCCCCGCAAAACTTGGATCTACACCCCTGGTTAGAGCGATGGGGAAATCACTTAAGGTTCTCTGATTGGAAGTAAGAGACCACTAGGCACAATCTTCAAACTGAAAGTGTCAGAGATTCCTGACCAATGGATCAAAGAAAGAGATTTTTAAAAAAGATTCACAGCCAGGAGGCCCAGCAGCCAGAAGCAAACCACATTAAGTAACAGCCTGAACACAGGATGTTCGAGGCTGAGGGTGACCTCAAGTAATGGGTCTGTCAGGGTCTAAGATGGCTTGGCAGAAAAAGGGAAAGTGGGACAAACTTCAAGGCGGGGAACAGATGCTGCACTACATTTTGCAGTATTCAGACTGGTGGGTTTCCAGCCTGATGTCTTACAGGTTGAGAGCCAGTGAAAAGGGTGAGAAATTTAGCAAGAGCTAGTAATTACCTCAGGGAAGCTAAGTACCCCTCAACCTCACTGTCCAAAGCTCAGTAGAGAGAACATTGTGCAGAAATAGGGAATTTTGTTATGCCACCAAAGGCAAGGAAGGAGAAGTCAACAGGACTCAACTAGGTAGACTCAGAGGTAGAGCCACCAAGAGGTAGTGAGCTTATACCCTATTCAATAACTTCCATCAGAATGAGCTCTCAAGTTTTATTTTCCTGCGAGCTCAGATTTCAAAGCACCTAGATCACATGTCTGCCTTGAGCATTATGTTTTTTTAAGAACTGGGATCAAACTTTTATATGGGAACAAACTGACAACAGCAATTCAGAAGATCTGATAGGAAACTCACTCGGAGGTGGAGTCCTGGTGTGGTGCTGTGGGTTAATGTGCTGGACTGTAAAATCGTCTGAATCACAAGATGGGAGGTTCAAGCTCACTAGCCACTCCTCGGAAACCCTAGAGGGTCATAATGGGTCGGAACCGACTCGATGGCACTTAACAACTTTCTAGTTGGTAAAGACTTTATGTTAGTAAGGATGGAGCCATTTAGAAAACAAGGGTGAGAGTATTGTACAAAATGTGATCAACATCACTGAATTCTACATGTGGAAACGAATTGGTGGTGTATGTTCTGCCATGTTAATGAAAAATTAATTCCATTTATCCACAGACTTTTTGAAGTCTTCTCTTATTCTCAACAACAACAAAATTTGAATTAATATATAAAGGCCACATAAGCAAGGACAAAGACTAGGATATAACCTCCAACCTGCAGAGGATCAAGGGGAAGGCTCAAAAACAATGTGAACCCTAAACTATACTCTAAAATACCAACCCAAACCAACAGCCACCAGTGGATTCTGATTTATGGTGATGGTGGTGATGTGCTGTGGAGTCGATTCTGACTCATAGCGACTCTGCATAGGGTTTCTGAGGCTGTAAATCTTGATGGAAGCAGAAAGCCTCAATGTTCTTCTGCAAAATGGTTGGTAGTTTCAAACTGTTGAACTTGAAGTTAGCAGACCAACTCGTAACCACTGCACTACCAGAGAGACCCTATATAAGGTTTCTGAGACTAAATCTTTAAGGAGCAGCCTGCCTCATCTTTTTCCCTTGTAGTTGTTGCTGGTGAGTTTGAACCACACACCTTTTTTGGTTAGCATCCAGTGCTTTCCCGACAGCGACACCACAGCTCCTTTAAGATATGCTTGTTGTTGTTATTGTTGTTAAGTGCAGTCGAGTAGGGTCCGACCCACAGTGACCCTGTAAAGGAAGAGCAGCTGGTGAGCTTGAACCACTGACCTTGCAGTTCAAACCAACTTTGCAGTCTAGCTCATTAACCCACAGCGCCACACCAGGACTCTAAGAGATGCTTCTTGTTGTTGTTGTTGTTAGGTGCCATCGAGTTGGTACCGACTCATAGAGACCCTATGCACAACAGAACAAAATACTGCCCGATCATGAGCCAACCTCACAATTGTTGCCACACTTTAGCCCATTGATGCTGCCACTTTGCCAATCCATCTCGCTGGGGATCTTCTTTTTCTCTGACCCTCCACCTTACCAAACATGATATCCTTCTTAAGCAACTGGTCCCTCCTGACAATATGTCTGAAGTATGAGAGATGAAGTTTGGCCATCCTGGACTCCAAGGAGCACTCTGGCTACACTTCTTCCAACCAATAATCAACATTCTTATCAACGGAGAAAAGATTGAAGTTGTCAAGGGCTTCACTCTTCTTGGATCAAGTATCAACACTCATGGAAGCAGCAGTCAAGAAATCAAATGACGTATTGCAGTGGGCAAATCTGTTGCACAGTACCTTTTTTTTTTTTTCTCAAGTTTTATTGTGAATTATATGATATTTTACACGAGAGAACTTAAGTTTTACATTCATTC